CAACAGTTCGGCGCAAATTGCAGAGCCTTCTTCCAGTTTGGTCGCAATCAGTAGAGCCTTCTTCCAGTTTGGTCGCAATCAGTAGAGCCTTCTTCCAATTTGGTCGCAATCAGCAGAGTTTGGTAGCAATCTGCAGTACTCCTCTTTTTTATGCTTAGTTTTTGTTTCTATTGAATTTAATACGGAGTACTTAATATTAATGTTAATTTTCTGCCCATTAATACTTTATGTTTTTCCTTCAGTTAAGTTTTCAACTTTCAAGAGACCAATATTTTTTTCCCAGTTTATATATATATATATATATATATATATATATATATATATATATATATATATATTATAATGATAACTTCAACTCTGTACTAACTTTTTTATGCTTTTTTATGCTCCTCTGTTGATGCCTTTTTGTTTCTATTCACTTAAACACTAATTATGTTAATTTTCTGACTATTAATATTTTATTATTATCCTTTGATTAAGTTTCAACTTATCAATATTTTTTTCAGTTATTTATTTGTTGGTTTCTCTTGAATAATGCTTTTTGATATATATATATATATATATATATATATATATATATATATATACGCCTCAGTTATACGCCTCATTGCGCAATGAGGCTTACGCAATATGCAATTCTAAAAATCCGCCATGATTACGCAATACGCAATTACGAACATTGAATGAGAGTGCAGTGAAACTTGCCAAGAATCCAGTCTATCATGGGAAAACAAAGCACATTGGGATGAGATATCACTTTGTCAGAGGGTTGATCACTGAAGGAAGGATGAACTTGAAGAACATCTCAGGTGCAAAGAATCCAGCAGATATGTTCACTAAATCTGTGACGCTGGACAAGCTGAAGTTCTGTGTAACTTCAGCTAGCCTTCAAGAATAATGTTGAGAAGGCAGGTGGCAACTAGGAGGAGCTAAACACAGATGAAGTTTACAGAAGTACAGAGCATAGTCACATGGTTCGCGGTACGGTTCGATACGGGAACGAGGAACGGGAACGCGGTTCACTATTTCTAGCGTATCCCATTCGGAGGGGGTAGGTTCATTTCGGTACGCATTCGGTACGATGTACCATATGTTCGGTACGCTGTACATAATATTTTGGTACTATAATATAAATATAAAACTGAATTATAGAATACATGATTTCAACATTGAACAAAAACAGATTTCATAACATGATTTTTCATAACATTAAACAAAAGCAAAAACATTAATATTCAAGAAACATTTCAAGCAAAACAGAAACACAGTTCCACAATTTATATGAGTTAATTAAAATGTAAAATTTATGAGTTGGATTAATTTGGACCAGTAAACGAAGAGCTGGTTCGAAATCCTTCATCCTTACGTCTATTACTACAAGCGTCTTGAAACGAAGCGTACACATATTGTAACCTGCGCGACTCATGCGTACACATATTGTACACAGTTTGTTTCATATTGCAATTGATGGGGAAACGCAAACAGAACGACCAGCTTCGATTTTACGAACGCGTCTTCATACGAATTAAGTCGTATCAGACTACGATTACGATCGCTTCAAGGTGCGATTGCGAACGACTGGAGCATCGTACCGTATGGCGTTCCGAGGTGCGACCGGATCGCTTTCGTACCGCGATTGGGTACGCAGCGATCGATACGCAGCGATCGGTACGCAGATCGCGCCTACTTTAGCGATTTCTGTTTCTATGGTACAGAGTAATGGAGTGCAATTGATCATGTTTCGAAGCCTCCAAGTGGGAGATTGTTGGGCTGTAGGCTTCGGCCCATTCAGATCTGGGAGCCAAATAAACAAAGAGCAGCAGTCTGCTCTAGTTATATGTGCAAGCAGCCCTAGTTGGGCTTGTTTCTTTGGTGGCAGTCGGGCCCAGAACCTTATTAAGTGTTTTACCCTAATTGTTTGCCTATATATATTGACTCATGTACTTGTAAACTATGACTTGTATCATTTATCATCTCAATAAGAAAGAAAACCCTAGTTGCCCCCGTGGATTAGGTCAGTAACACTTACTGGCTGAACCACGTTATATTCGTGTGCCGTTCTTCTCGTTCTTTTCTAGTTTTTCAGATTCGTGCGTGTGTGAGATCTAACCCTAACAAGCCTCACTACAAACTGTTATTCTATTCTTTGTTAAAATATTGTGGAGTCAGAGAGAGAGTGTGCATGATAGAAATTGCCTAAAACTGGCCTATCATATCCCCATGCTCAACTTAAAAGCAACATACTACAATATATGTTACTACAACCAAACACTATATATGTTACTCTGCAATATACTACTATAATAGTATAGTACTTTTTAAATAGGATTCACGAATTACTACAACCAAACACTATATATGTTACTCTGCAATATACTATTGCCATAAACATCATTGCACATCAAAGTCTTTTCAAGATTGTTAGGTCATTAAAAAAAATATTGCATTGATTCAGTTATATTGCTTTTGACATACACGCATAAAGATGCAGAACAAACATAGCGCATACATACACTAACAGAATGACATAGACCCCAACATAATTTGCAGTGTTGGAGGCGAATTATTATGCATTATATAAGTACTAAAAACTGTTGACCATTGAGGGAGAACGAGAAAACCAGAGGCATCATAACTATTCCGGAAAATGATGAAAATCAATTGGTATATTGCAGTTCCTTTGTTAAACTTATCACACACATGTTCCAAACAAGATATGAACATGTGTTCCTCTGTTAAAATCACTTATTACAAAACTTATGCATACCATTGAACGTAATATACATACATAAATATATATATATATATATATATATATATATATATATATATAAAATTCCAGATCAAATAAGAACAAGGCACCGAATTTTTACACTTTAAAATTGATCTGATCCACTCATTTTCTCATTTTAATGGCAAGATTATTTCTCATTTTTCATATGAGGAGTGCTTTGTATTTGAACCTCCCTATAAACTTAGAGACTGAGTGGGAATGCTGTGAACACCCATAGACAGACGGAATAAATTGCTAAATATACAAAAGTATGTTGAACTTTGCTTTAGATGTCGTATTCTTGGTCATATGGATCAGTTTAAGCCATCAGTACTTCCCTATGGCCCTTCAATTGAGGGGGGGCCTTAAAACTATAAAAGTTTAACTGTGAGCTGATACCTCTCGTGGTTGGTCAAATGGGGGTGACTAATGGCTTGATGGCTAGTCCCTGCTTTCCGGAAACACTGTGAGGAGGGGACGGAGGTGCAGACAGGTAAAATGAGGAAGAGGGGGATACTATGGGTGGATCAACAGGGGTTTGCAGTGTCTAATGAAGCTATAAAAGGAAAGGGTCTAGCGGCGGAGGTGGTGGGGTGTGGAGAAGGGATTGGTGGCATGAGTCTCAACCATGTCGACACAGATTGAGGCAGGGTAAACTGAGAAAATGCCAACTGCTGGAAGAACCACATTTGGTTGTGAGGGAAGAGGAGAGTGAGATGAAGGAGACGACATAATCAAGAAACAGGGAGCAGGCGGCTGTTGGGGGGTTCCATCTGTACATTTAGATGCTTTTGTTGCACTCTGTGGAGCAGGGGAGGTAGATATATAGGAATGTGGGGACATGTACAGTGAGCTCTGGGTTGAGGTCTGGGGAATGTCAGGGTCACACTCTGTGAGTGAGCGGTCAGGATGGTTGGTCAAAGCAAAGTTCTCTTTGGTGATCATCTGTGAGTGAGTGAGTGAGTGGTCAGGATGGTTGGTCACACAAGTGCTTCACAGTCAAATACTTCTCTTACCTTGTAGGTAGCAAATCAAGCTGGTATCATCTGGGTGAAGCTTATTACGGCATGGACTACTATCTTAACAGTAGTTAGTCAAACCGGTTTTGGTTCTCACACACCTCTCACAAACAGAGGTGTTAGCTTGGCTAAAGAAGCTTTCTTGTTCAACGAATGGTCTGTGATATGTTCCATTAGTTCTATATGACTATATTTGACCACAGAACTATATCTTTGTTTTACCTAATCTTTTGGTTTTCTTTTTAAATTGATTACTTTAATGTAATTACTTTCCACCCAAGCTATGCTTTTTCCGATACTATAATCTAAGTATGATTACAAGTTTCAGTGCAACTCGGGCCATTAGCTTAACAAAATCTGGATTATACTTGTAGGACTATAGTTTCCTTTTGTTGATGTTGCAAAACAGGTACATTGAGCTACATTATTCAAAACAACATATAAGATCTTGAGCTCATCCTATCAAGTTAACGTTTTAGAATGAAACATCATATGTCCTAATATGTTGTTAGATCCAATTAAGCTCAAATTAGTGATGGATCCTACTAATACTTAAAACGAGCACACGAGCATCAATACTTGTTTGCTCTAGCGAACCGCCATCTTGTAGGAATTTATGAATGTTTTTACTTAGACTGAAATTTTTTAATCTGATTGATCTATTTAAATCTGGTCTGGTCTGAACTAGTCTAGTAGATGTCTGGTCTTATGTATTTTAGAACTGTCGAGGTCTAGTCTGGGACTGAAACCAGACCAGTAAAAACATCCTAAGTCATCCAAGCAACCTAAAACAAATTGCCTAAACCTATTATCAACTTTACATTTTACCGAACATCAAGTATACTAAAAGTTGGGTTGTGAGGAGTGTCTTGAAGAACAATCTCATACCCATTAAATACTCAGTATGAAATAACTTAGCAATATACGAAGTATAAGAACTTGAATGAAACTCGGGTCTTAATATTGTCTGTAAATTACGATCCCAGCGCACAATAATTGAACACTCATAATTTTATTCGAATCCTATGATCATTTACCACAAAAGAAATGAACATCAGCATTCAGCAACCAATGAGAAATAAAAATAATAATAATAATAATACTAATAATAATAATAATTAACTTTTTTTGCAAGGATAATAATAATTAACTGAATTCTGATAATGAATGATGCAACTGAACTAACTTGTATCCAAACATAGGAGTACCTTTTTATGGCTTTGACGAACTCGGCAGCCGAAGGCTGGCGCATTCGCTCGAGGAAGTCGTGCCAAGTCAGAGGCGCCGTCGACGAACCAAAAACATCGGCGTTCTCCATTGTTAACAGAAGCTCTGACCAGATCGGCGGCAAAGATTCTGTCAGAGCAATTCCAAACGGAGACAAATGTCGGCCAATGCAGGGGAAGAGTTCGTATACGGAACAGCCACTGTACGGCTCACGTGAGGCATTTTGGTAATTTAGGTCAAAATTGTGGCTTCACTTAAATAAACATTAATGCATTTTTTGGGATGTGTTTTAACTTGTATTGAAAATTGTTTGTCTACTCTAGTCTTCTGTAATCTGGTCTGAGTTAGTAAATGTTTGATTTATGTGTATTTTATAATTATGGAAGTCTAATATGGTTTGTACGGAGTTGATCTGGTTTATTTAAATTTGATCTAGTCTGGTTTGAGACTGAAAACAATTCAAGTAAAAATATCCTAGTGAACATCAAACGTATTTCATCGAGTATTAGGATTAATCATGAGAATTGTGATCTCTGGTTTATATCTTCTTGTTGGATCACCGACATGGGGGTAGTCGGAATCCGGGAAAAGTAAGCAAAGAACAAAATCGGAAAAGCTTAAGTCAGTCTTTTAGCAGAGTAGCGACAAGAGAGTCTAATTGTGCCCAAGTAAAAAAGATGATATTCTAATGTGGAGAGCACGTGTGTCCTGCCTTCTAACAGACTAAACAGGCTGATCTAATGGGGTGTTGCCACATGTAAATGTGATTGAAGAGATAAATGAGACATCTGGCTGATTGGAACTGCCCATAACAAACTAGTACCGGAATATATGTGCGGGCTACACGTGTATTATCTGGAACATTCCTTGTTCTATCTGCTGGGAGTGACGTGGCGCCTCCCAGGGTACTGACGATGTGGCGGTAGCTTTGTGGCGCTTGCTTTTGTGAATTGCTTAAGTACATAGTGTTTGGTGAGACCCCGAGCTCCATGAGGTCAAAGCTCGGATACCCGTGCTCATTGCTAGAGGATGTGCCTTTGGTCTTCGGTCTTGTCTTATAACGTTGACTCCCTAATTGACTTCAGTTGCCCTTGCGTCACTGCCCGAGGTAAGAGTTGTTACCGAGCTCGGTGTGCCTGAGGTCGGCCTCATATCTTGCCTTGTCTGGGTGATTCCCGAGCTCGGTGTTTCCTCTGACCTCAGAGGGTTGATGTCGGGCTCGGTGGGTCTTTTGTCCTTTATCGATTCATCATCTGGTGCTTTGTCCTGCCCTCGGTGGGTCGGGGTCAGGGTCGGCCTCTGTTGGAAGCTTGTTACTTTGAGTATTTTGAGATGCCTTTTGTGGTCTTTGACCGGCGATAATGATACCCTTGGGGTATATGGGAATATACTCCATCATGAGTCTCCCACTCTCTGAAGCAAAAGTAACATTTGAGATGAGAAAGAGTAGATCTTCAATCTTCTGGGTTGGCGCGCCCGGCGGGGGCACTTCTCTCCATGGTCATGACAAAGGGGTGTTGTAACACCCCGGCCCCGCAGGCCCCGAGGTAGTTGCTTCTGACCTCTAACATTGTTCCCACAAACCACCACGAGCCTTTACCGCGCACTTTGTCCTCACTCATGTGCGCCCTCAGAAACTTCCTAGGGGGTCTCCCATCCCAAGACTACTCCCGTGCAAGCACGCTTAACTTTGGAGTTATTGGGTGATGAGCTCTCTTAAAAGGAGATGCACCTCTGTTGGTATGAGTAGTACTATTAATCCGTTTAAATTAAATCTCAAGTATTACAGGTGCCTCATTAAAAACTCCGCTGAGGAAAAACCCTATGAGAAAATATCCTAACGAGGGGGAAAAGAGTACACTCTGCTTTGTTGTGACTTCCGGAGAAGAAGACGATGCCCCGCTGCAAGTGAATCTAATCTCGAGCTTCGAACATTTGCGATCCTTGCTTTTATTTCTTGTTTCATGCGTTAGGTCCTACATCCACGGCCCCTACCGTGGGTTGACGAAAGGAAATTTTAATGGTGAGAAAATGTAAAGTTCATGTGTATAAGGAGCTCGGTTTTTAGGCATACCTATTTTGTGTTGCCTCTGAGGTCGTTGCGTTGTTCTGAGCTCATAGTTGTGACCTCTTTTTTTTGTTTCTGCCCAACTCTCCCACTTACCAGTCCCCCACTCTTGTGAACTTAGAAAAAATCTAAGTGTACACTACAAGATAAAGTATCATTTGTGTCCAAGTTTTTTGCGTCAACCTTGTCAACGCAAATAATAAGTTTTTTGCGTCAAAATGTGGAAGCAAAAAAGTTACAAAAAAAACTATCTGTCGAACATCTTTTCGTCAACGCTAATGTAAATGTTTTATTAGTACTGCCGGTTAATAGAATTTGGGAGTAATAATAAAACACAAAAAAACCTACCTATTTCTTCAATAGAGATCGCACTCCGTATGAGATTCAAGAGAGGGGAAGGGAGAAGCGAAGAGGATACTTTGGTTTCAAATCATGTGAAGGCGAAGGAAGCCGAGGCGAAGGGGATCTACCAGTCAGTAAGGGGTTTCAGAGGCGGACATCTTCCGTGGGTTGCTGAAGAGGGTAGTATCTGTCAACGAGGATACTTCAATCCGTTCTCCGTTTCCAGTAGATTTACTTTGGGAACCAACGGAGTTACTCCAGATCTGTAGTCTCCTCCTTCTGCCCGACCGGATGGAAGACATCTCTTGCGCGATGACGGTGGTGGCGAAATCCTACTGTTACGATGCTAATCTATGTCGAGGCCTCGTCATGAGTGGTTTCCGGTAATGTATTTGGTGATTCTGATTCTTTTCCTATTTTGATATTTCTTATGCGAGGATTTCAGGATTTTGTTTTAGTCTTGTTTGATATGTTCCTAATTTATTTGTTATCACTTCCAACTCCTACACTTTCCTCTCTTCTTCTTATCCTATTTAAATTCTCGAATTCATTGCTTTGTTTCTTTTTTTTCTAATTCTCACATTTTATACTTTATATTAATAGAGTATGCAAATGAGGTATACAATGAAAAATTGGCATTCTATGTGCTATAAACAATAGTGTAAATCTTCTTGTTGCCTCTACACAAGAATCAAGCGTTGCAAAAGTTGATATTGTATCATGCCTACGAGATGCATAGGGCTGGTAGTTTTGATTGCCCAGCTTTTTAGTAACATAACCCTTTCATTTTTTTAGCAAACACTACTTACTCCTTTTTTGGTTAAACGGGTGGGAGAAGGAATGTAGGAGAAGAGAGGGGATGAAAGCAGAACAGTTAAAACGGAGGTATGTTTGGGATGTTGGAAAGTAGAAAGGGAATTTTGGAAAGGAAAGGAAGCAACTGGGATGATTCTTAAACAAGCTCGAACTCTTTTTATTCATTTATATGCTCTGTATAACTGTATTATATATAATATCAAGGATGATTCTTATATTGTTTTTCGCCCCAGCTCTTTTCCGCTGATGGATTCCACGGTTGGCTTGCGTTCTTTAATTGTTTTTCTCTATCGCTGTGTTTAGTTGAATTACTTTACTGCTCGTGTTTGAATTTGAGATCGAGACCATGATTTACCGTCAAGAAACCAACATACGACGATGTTCGTGTGCGTCTTTACTGTTCATGTAAATCGTGAATTGATTTTCGTTCGATTCTTTGGTTATCTGGCTAACTGGCTTCGATATCGTTTCTGAGTACTAGTCCGACCTCGGATTTGCTGCAACGACCTTAGGAACTCTGTCTTCGTACCAGGTCCCTGATTTTGGGAATTCTGAGCTTCGAATTCTTCTTTTCCCGGTCGTGTGAAGTGCTGCGTTTTTTATTTTGGTGTGCAGTGTTTTAGCTCTGTAAAATGAATTAAAAGAAGACAGGGAAGGGGGAGGCTACGCCCAGGCTTACCAGGTCCAAGGCATCAGGCTTTGAGGTTTTGAGTAACATTGAGGAGGACTTCCCTGTGCTTGCTAAATCTGTCTCGAAACCTGTAGGTGTTAGCTCCGGAACTGCTGCTATAACTGCTACTTCATGTGGGCAGGTTGAGCAGACAGACTCCTATGTAAATGAGGCTACTGGGGTGTCAAAGCCATTGATTTACCAAAATCTGCTAGTGCCAAGAAGATTGTGAATGGGGAGTTTAATAGAACTCCTGAAAGTATTGCCAAGGTGCCTGCACAAACTGCTAAGGCAGTTTATGGGTCTGCTGCGAACAAAACTGCCAAGGCAGTAACTCCAATACCCTTGGCAGAAACTTCTAAAACAGATCCCACACCTTGGAGCGCTCTTTTTAAGGATAACCGTGACCCAAGGCATGGAATCAAATTGAGATTTATCCCTCCCAAAGGGGATACTTTGGACTTTGGGGATCGTATATTGCCTTCCATGGTTGAAATGTGGGGTTATTGCCTAGTTGGACACTTCACCGGAAATTTCCCCGGGCTCAAATCGGTGCATGATCTTAAAGCTAAGTGGGGTGTCAAATGCCTCGTGAGGTCCCACAAAAAGGGGTGGTTGATATTTAAATTCCAAAGTGAGGAGGATAGATCAAAGGTACTACATGGTGGACCTTACACCGTGTTTGGGAAACTCTTAATGCTCAAGGAACTTTCGGAAAACTTCTCATTTGAAGATGAGGAGTTTCTTAAAGTTCCAATTTGGGTCAAGTTCCATGATCTACCATTGCAATTATGGAATGATGAGGCCATGAGTAATGTGGCATCCATGGTGGGGATTCCAATTACTACCGACAAAATAACCCAAGAGAGGATCAACAATGACTATGCGAGAGTGTTGATAGAGGTTGATATATCAAAGCCACCACCGCTATCGTTTCCTATACGTCTACCTTCCCAAAAGGTAATCAAACAAAGTGTGGTTTATGAAACTTTTCCTAGTTATTGCTTTCATTGCAAAGATTTTGGGCACCACCCATTTACTTGTAAAAAGTTAGCAAAATGTGGGGTTGAGGTAGATAAGGAAAAGGAAAAAATTGATGTTGTTGTTGCTGAAATTGAAGAAGCTGGTACTGATTTAGGCCGGACAAAAACTGCCCAGGGGTTAAGCCCGACCGGTCCTGCCCCTAACCCGACCGAATCGCAAGAGGAGCTCTCTGCCAAAGGGGGAAACCCGACCGGGTCCACCACTTACCCGACCGGGTTTGTGCAGCAGGCAGTTTCCCAGAGTTCTGTAGTTACTGCCGAAGGCTCTCCAGGTGTACAAAGGACTTCCGATGTGCAAAAGACTAGTGTGGAAGATAAAGAGAGGGTTGTGATGAATGAAAAAGACTTGCATCAACATGATGTGGTCACCAAATGTGAGGTACTAGATGGTAAGACACTCAAGTTGTTTGTCAAACCGTTTAGATTTGTGCATGCTAGCGTGGTTAGAGTGGATACGTCTCTACGACTTACGGATGATTTGGACAAAGAGGGCCTTACTTTCACCGCCAAGTGTCTTGAGGGCCTACCGGGAGTTACAAAGAAGAAAGGGGAGGTTTGCTTTGACTCAAAGTTCACTACCCCTTTTCGCACTTTCTTTGGATGTTAAATTAGGGATACCTAATTATTGTTGAGTTAGTTTTTGTAATATTGCTTGTGGTCCCTAAATGATTGTGTGGGAGCGTGACTCTTGATTTGTGGTACCCCGTGTATCGGGATATGCACTTTGATTGTACGCATGATGCATTGTACTATGCTATTTTTCTGGATATATATACATTTACATTTTATCAAAAAAAAGGATGATTCTTATATGCTCATTTCGGAAGTTTTAATCAACTGTTTTATTAGAAATTTTCCTTTTTCCTATCCTTTTCTTCTCCTTTTCACATCTAATTATTGTTATGAAATTCCCATCTTTTGAATCATTAAAACGATTTACAGAAGTAGCGAATTGTTCTTGTTACAGAACAATTACGCAGAGATGACTAGTGTTGTTGTTGATGAATCGTCAGGAACTCCAATCAGGCTTAAGGTTATTGTTTTTATTTCCATTCAAGAAAGCTTTAATTTTTTCCCTTTTGTGAATGTTTGAAATGATGTCATTTGAAAATAATCAAAAAGGGTTTTCGAATTTCACGGGAAACCGATAGGAACGACAGTATGCTTCTTTCTCGAGCTTGGTTCTCTCGTGGCTTGGAATAGCATGCTCACCATAGGAGATTACTATTATCAGTTATTTCCTGTGAGAATCTATCCATCTTTAATGGATAATGGGTGTCCAAATTTATTTACGGTTAATAATATATTGTGAAAAGGAGAATTAATTTGACTTTTTCGTGTTTATTCAGAATTATCATCCATCAAGGGTGCTACCCCAGTTTATCAACCTTTTTCAATTGGAACAATGGCAATACTTGCATATAAAGATGAAAAGATCAATACTAGGATCAGAAATTTAGCAGGGTATACCCTGTCCAGACTGGCCACCTTTTCACTCCTAATGGTATATATTCATTGTTAAATCTTTCATTCCATTCTCATAAGTTTTGATGTGTTTTTTAAGACCATATTGATGTGTAGTTCATTCAAATTGATGCAATTGGATTTAGGCACATTTGGGAAGGGTGGGATTGGAAATTTTATGGGAATTTGTGTTCTTGTTGCATTCTTTGGAGTTGTTGATGCCATTGTTCAGGGTGGACTTGCTAGAGACCTTTCTCTCATGTGCCCTGAATTCCTCCAGGTATTATTATTTTTATTGTATTTGTTATTGTTATTATGGAGTGTTTTTTGATTTCTCAAATATACTTTTGGATCTTATTGCAGTCATACTTAGCTGGTTTAGCTGCTTCACGAGCGCTTACTTCTGTTTTGAGGTTGGTGACGAAAGCTGCTTTCGAAGGCTCCAACAATGGTCTCCGGAAGGGAGTTAGTAAGTTTCACTTCCTGGTATTGCACATCCTTAGATTAAACCATTGGGTTTGAATCTTAGTTATACTAATGTCTTATGTAGTTCTGTTTCTGGCAATCTCCACATTCTTTGAATTCATATGCAGCTTCTGTGAATTCTCTATGGACTTGTCTTCCCAAAATTACCTATTGTGAAGTACTATCGCTCAAAGGCAGCTTCTGAGGGATTAAAATTTTCTTTAAAGATTGAAACTTTTTCTTTTCTTGTTCTTATATAGGGATCGGAGGCAAATGCATTGGGGAATATTCTTGTTTCGTGCCTTCTTGCTAGCATATTATCTAGAATGGCTCTTGATTGGTTGTGGCTAATTGGCAAAGGCCATTTCTGAGGAGTGAGCATTTCTTTTACATCAATATGTTGATGTAAGCCTATGTAGTTGGCTTTCTAAAAAGATTTGATGTATGATGAATGGTTATTTTAAAGCTATGTTAGAAATCTGATTTTGCATATTTCAAAATATTGTTAAAGCGGAGATCAGTTAACATATTAATGAGTAATTCAACTTCTACATTTTTGTTTTCTAGATATTTCAACATGTAGGTATTCATTTGTACTTTTTATTCTATCAAAATATTAATAACAATTATAGTTAATGCTGATTTAGAAATAATAATATATTGCAGTATTATTATTATTTTCGAAAAATAGCACCTTTAGCGTTAACATGTTGACGCAAATGGTGGTTTTTTATGTTTTTCGCACCCACAATCTTTTTGTGTTGACACTGTCGACGCAAAAGATAAACTTTTATTTCCGTTGACAGAAGTGGACGCAAATAATCTTTTTGCGTCGAGGTATTAGCGTCAACACATTAGTGTCCACTTGTCGACGCAAATAAAGTATTTGCGTCAACTTTTACCTTTTTGCGTCGATTTTTTGTTAACGCAAAAAACAGCTTTTCTTGTAGTGGTAGAAGAGTATGAGTTTTGACGGGGGCGAGGTAGTTGTCTTCAATTCTTGGTGGACTTAGGAGGTTTTCGTGGCATGTAGTACTGCTGATGTGTACAAACATGAATCTTTACATATTTCTTTTGCAACATAATATTTAGTAGCCGCTTTTTTGCATTTAATGTGAGACAAGTCTTTAAAAGGACTATACGGCGCCATCATTGCGCTTTTTGCACACATTTTGTAAAAACATGTAACATCGTCCCCAATTATATTTACTTTTAGTAAATCATGTTATAAACCTTATGGAATGAGTAATGAATTTGCGAAGTTGAAAATTTTTATTATTCCTTTCGCGTGAATAGTAAATTGCACGTGGGACTCACACCGGGAGCGGGGGGTCGCCCGATGTCCCAAAGATCGCATAAATTATTCTTATGGGTCGAGATAGTATTTATATAGTGGTGGATATCTTATTTAGGCCATGGGAAGGCCTGGGGTTGACCGATGGGTCAAAAGAGGACCAATTACCGGTACCGGCAATTTATTAGATAACAGCCCGAAAGTGAAATTCAGAGACTTCTAAATTAAAGTTTTGGAATATATATTATTTCAAAAGGGCATTATGATTGAGAAAACATAATATAATTTATTTTACCCGATAAAGTAAAATATAATTAAAGCAGTCCGAAAAATACAACTTTCAGGGCCGAATGTACACTTTGGGGCATAAAGGGATGACCTCCCACATGGGTGGGGATACCCCTCGAAATTACCACTCAAATAACCATTTATTGATGCATGGTTGTGCTGAATAATGCAAAGAAAGAAGAGAGGAACATGGGAGTAGGGTCTTGGGGGTCCTAGACCACATAATTTGGTCTAATAAGCCAAAAGGACATCCCCTCTATCATCTTACTCCATAATTTTGACCCATCCTCTTCAAACAACAAAAGAAACCCCTGCAAACCACCATCCTCCATAGCTTTTTCTAGCTCAAGCTTTAGTGGTCCAAGGAAGAGATTTTAAGAAGACAAAAGTTAGGAAAAGTGTGAATAATTAAGGTAATGACCTTATATTAACTTTTCCTCTACTCTTTAACTACCATATGGATTATACATCATATGAGGAGACCCTAGGATTGTTCTACATGTTTAGAAGTGTAGAATGAAGGGTTGGAAGGTAGTTCTAAGTCCAAGAACGGACTTAGAAGTCAAAACGACCGGTTCGCCGGAAAATAACCTTTTAGAGGTTATTTGTATTGATATGAGTTTTGTGATGATAAAACCATGTTAGGAGCTTAACTAAAGAGTTTCTAGAGTTCGTCAGAGTTTCGCCGGAGTTCAACTGAGGAGCGTAGAACACGCTAAAGCTCATTTAAGGTGAGTGGACAGCTTGATATCTTACTCCTCCGTCTCTAAATGTTTGTCACACTTTGACTTCACAAGTTTTAAGGGGATGAATTTGACTTTACACTGTAGAGACACTGTTTCACACTGTAGTGGCACTGTTTGACACTGTTTTGCACTGTTTGACACTGTTTGGTATAGATTTGTTTACCAAATAAGGAAGTTGAAAAAGTATGACAAACATTTTGGGACATCCGTTTCGGGAAAGTGTGACAAACATTTAGGGACGGAGGGAGTATAACTTTTGGGTTAATTATGAGATTACATAAATAAATGTTATAGGTATTCATAATGATGTTTAAAAGATATTTAAACATGTGATTAACCAAACGATTAAGCATGCATGAAATGAAGTACATGAATATGCATGGAATATGATATGAGAATTTCTATGAAATTGCATGCTATGCTTGAAAGGTAAATGAAGCATAGAATGAGTATTATTAACTTAATATACATGATGATTAAGTTGATATGTATAAGGCTTGAAATGACGGTTAACGAAACGTTGTCCGGTTGATGATGGATTAATTAATACCGGTTGGTATTAGTTAATTACAAATTTATATAAATGCATGGCTTTGCATGAATTGAGATGCATAAGCCTTATGAATTTATTTAGTTATGAATATGATATAGACTCTATCTAGGTTGATAGGAGGTTGATCATTGGATTGTAAACTTGGTGGAGGACCCTAGGACTAAAAGTCCTTAACACTCATATTATAAACTTGGTGGAGGACCCTAAGACTAAAAGTCCTTAACACTCATATTATAAACTTGGTGGAGGACCATAGGACTTGAAGTCCTTAACACTTATATTATAAACTTGGTGGAGGACCCTAGGACTTGAAGTCCTTAACACTCATATTATAAACTTGGTGGAGGACCCTAGGACTTGAAGTCCTTAACACTCGGATTACAAATTGGTGGAGTACCCAAGGATTATGTTATCCTCAAAACTCATAGATTATGAAATTGAAATAAAGATAAAGAGGAGTCCTATACACTCATAAGTATATGGGTGGGCTGAGGTTTTTAGTCAAGAATATTGACTATTACTATTTTTCCCCAAATAAAACGGTGATCTACGGATCGGGTATTTTCCAAGTGTATATATACTATTAAGTATTTCTTAACTTGGGGGAAAGGACTATTTACATAAGTATCACCCTATGTTTGGGTCTTATACTTGAAACGCCAGTTACTCTTTATTCAGCTTGCTACTCGCTCGGTACTTGTACTGACCCCTTCGGGGGGCCCACCATTTCAGGTTGAAGCTAAGGCTTGTCATCTACACCTTTGCACGGGTGAAGAGAATCTAGAGGAAGACGTGATTCGTGCTTCCTTTACTATTTCAAATGATAAACTATGCTCATGGATACTTTTGTATTGTTACATTGTTTTTGGCCTGCAAGCCTACATTTTGTTTACTACTGAGTATGGATATATTGAATATTGAATATTTCCGCTATTCAATTAATCTAAACTGTGATGTTGTTATGTATGTATACTACTGAGTATGGATATATTATGTTCATGGACGCCTTGTATGATTAAGACACGTTGACTTGCGAGTGACGTCACTTAGTCATACGGCGGTTGTACAAGCGCTTAGATGTGGTCTGGGGCGTGACAAAACCTTTCAGTTTTTTATGCGGTTGATTTCCAGCGAACCACATGTCATCTTCCCATTTATTCTGGAGCGGATTATAAAAGGTGAAAGCTTTCTCTTTCTCCTTTGCGCTTTCTTTGTGTTCGAATTTCCAAAACTTCCCAAGCAGTTCAGAGCTTTCATTCTCTCCAGTCAAGGTTTTTGCCGTTGTTCCAGCCGTCACTCTACCTTTTCACCAAGTTAGCCCTCAACTTCTTCGTTTTTGTTTTAACCCTCGTTTGTTCGTCGGAAAGCTCAGAACAAGGATTTTTCCGTCGAACTGGTTTTTTTAGGCACTGGGGGGTTTATAGTCCCCCATTGCGACTGATGTCGGTATCCCTGGACTCAGAATCTTACGTAGATGTTGATTCGAGTGTTTGATTTTTGTTTGAGGGTTGGATTTTGTTCCTTATCCCCGGATTCTGACTTTTGCATGTCTGTGTTTTATTATTTGCAGATTTCAAGGCAAAATGGTTTCTCACAGAGATTCCGTCAGTACCGCTGACAGGGTCAACCGTGACCTTCCAATGGGGTATGATGATGCGGCCGCTATGAGGGAGGTCGGCCTTAATGAGGACATCGAGGACGTGTCCTCCGCGCTGGATGTCGCGTCGTTGAACACTCTGCAGGGCGCAAGGGCACTGGGAAGAAAAGAAACGGGGACACCCAGGAGTACTTCATGCTCGACAGCTTCAACCTACATTGCACGGCCTACTCTGAATAAAAACCAATTATTCCAATTTTTTAACCTATTAAATATTCGGTCCCTCAGATAGCCCAGAATAACTGGTTTATTTTTCCCTACTAACGCTAGCAGTCCTAGATAGAGGTTATGTCTGCCTTCTCTCAGAATTCCCCACTGTTGGCCACAATAATCTTTAAACTGTTCCCCCACATTCTCGCTAAAGCTAAAGAATATTTATTAAAATTAACCATCTTACTTAAGTTCCTTTCATACGTCTGCATAATATTTTTCATTGTTGTACATTCACCATCAGGAGCTTTAAAGAAAAGAAAACTATCATCAGCAAATAATAAATGAGACACTCTTGGCGCCCCCTGCGGACTGCAACACCATGAACCTCCCCTACTTTCAGCCCTCCTCAACATAGCACTCAAACCTTCTGCTACCAAAATGAACAAATCTGGAGAAAGCGGGTCCCCCTGCCGCAGCTGTAACATCCCCATTTTTCCCACCCAAATAAAATCACATTTTAAATGAAACCATCTTTATTATTAAACATATTTAGAGTACAACGGAAGTCTTTAAGGGAAAAATAGGTGTGTCACCGCCACACTCAACCTATACATCATTGAGTGCACATGCTATCCATCATAAGTTCAAATAACAATGAAATAGGTCTTAGGACAAAGTTTATGAATTACAAATTTAAACAACGATAATTAATCAAACGTGTGCAACTAGCGGAACACTCGGGCAGCAAGTACATCAATCTTCATATCCATAATCATCTTTACAATAGAGCAAAGAGAAGAAGACAAAAGAGACAAAAATTAGCTTTAGAGCTAAGTAAGATTCCACCCGAACCCGTAAAATAATATAATTTGGAAAATAGGTTTGGTATATGTATATATGTAGAAAATACTCTCTCATATCTCCAAAATAACTTTATGTCTCAAA